AGGACTTCCAGGCAGTTTTCCTTTATGATTTCCTGAAAGATACTGTCCAGGCTCTTTTTTTCATCATGATTTTCAGGTAGTCCAATAATTTTTAAATTGTCTCTCCTGAATCAATTTTCCAGGTCGGTTGTTTTACCAATGAGGTATTTTACGTTTTCATCTATTTTTTCATTTTTTTGTTTCTGTTTGACTGATTCTTGCTCTCTCATAGAGACATTAGTTTCCATTTGTCCAATTCTAGTTTTTAACAGATTGTTTTCTTCTGTTAGTTTTTGTACTTCCTTCTTCAATTGGCCAATTGTGTTTTTTATGGACTAGTTTTCTTCAGTGCATTTTTTTTCCAATTGTCCAATTGTATTTTTGAAGGACTCTTCTACCTCTCTCATTTGACTTTTAAAATCCTTCTTGAGCTCTTCTAAGAAGTCTTTTTGGGCTTCAGACCAGTTCATATTCCCTTTTGTTGTCGCAAATGTGGGTTTCTTGACAATGTTGTCCTCTTAAGAATTTCTGTCTTGACCTTCACTCTTCTCATAATATGAATCTATGGTATGTTTCTTTTTTTTATTTTATTTTTTTACTTTTATTAATTTATTTTGATTTATCAACAATCACTTCCATATGCTTTTGAGTTGAAACTTTTTCTCCCCCTTTTTCTCCCCCACCCTCCCCAAGACGGCGCACAATCTGATACAGGCTTTACATTTACATACCCATTAAACATATTTTCACATTAGTGAAGTTTAAGTAAAAATTAAAACCAATAGGAGGAACCATCAAAAAGATGAAACAAAACTCAACAGAGGTAAAAATAAGTGATAGCGATTCGACTTCCATAGTTTTTTCTTTGGATGTGGACAGCATTTTCCATCCCGAGGCCTCTGGAGATGTCTTAGATCCTCGTAATGCTGAGAAGGGTTCAGTTTAACAATATTAGTCATTGCATAACATGGCTGTTATTGTGTACAAAGTCCTCTTGGTTCTGCTCACTTCACTCAGCATCAGACCATATAAGTCTTTCCAGGTTTTTCTGAAGTCAGCTTGTTCATCATTTCTTATAGCACAATAGTATTCCATTACATTCATATATCACAACTTGCTCAGCCATTCCCCAATTGATGGGCATCCTCTCAATTTCCAATTCTTTGCCATGTGGTGTGTTTCTTTTTACTCATGGTGTTTCTTTATTCCCTGGCCTTTAAAAGAGATTGAGTTCTCCTGCTGGGGATGAGAGGGCACTGACCTAAGCTTCTTGTGTTGGGAGCCTAGGTCTTGGTCACTGGCTTTGCGTGCTGGGGCCTCTTATGTTGGCAATTGGAGGCTGTAGGTTTCTGGCAGCTTACCTCGTGGGCTGGAATCATCAAGGCTGGAACTTTCAGACAATTCTAGGTTGCCTGCTTTTCCTTTCCTTTAGCTTTCTTCAACTCCTTTTAGATGGGTTGCTGCAGGGTGTTTATCTGCCTGGGGCCCCCTGCAGTGTTGTGTCCCTCGTTTCTGCTAATGCACTGGGAGATTCCTTTGTGGTAGAGTGCCGAGGCACCTGGTGGTTTTCTGAGCTGGTTTCCACCGGTTCTCCCCCCCACACACACTGAGGTACTCAGAGGTCCAGGTGTTGGTGTTTGCCTGTTCTACCACCTGTGCTTCAGGATTTCTTCACAATTGGAGGCTGCAGGGCTCCGACAGCTCACCTGGTGTTGGGCTGGCACCAGCAAGGCCCAGGTTTTAGGAAGCCTTTAGGTTGTTTTCTTCACCTCCTTTCAGAATGCCGCAGGGTGCTTATCTGCCTGGGGCCCCTTGTAGTTCTGCCTCCCTTTTTTTGCTGAGGCACTGGGAGACCCATTTGCTGGGCTGCTGCACTGCTGCTCCCTGTCTTTCTTCTAGTTCAGCTGTTCCAGGGTTTTTTCCTGGGGTGATATTTTCCAGGTTTTCAGAGGTTGATAGGGGAGAGTGAGAGGGGCTACCTTTTCACTCCACCACCTTAGCTCCCTGAAGTGGACAAAACTGGTCTATTCTCACAAGGCAATATTGCTTCTAGCACGTTTTTCATTTTATAGATAAGATAATCTAGGCCCAGAGAAGTTGTTACTTGTCTACACAAGTAATTAGTTGCAGAGCTGGTATTTGAATCCAGGCCCTCAGGCTCCAAACCTAGAAAGTGCCCTTCCTATCATATCATACTGCCCTTAGAACAAACCATATATGGTTATATATGGTTTATCTATATAACTTGTGAATATTCTGCTCAGTATTAGTGGAAGAGATTTGGTCAATGTGTGAACCCAGTAAAATTTTGTTACTTGTGGTACACCAAATGGAATGAATTACTTGTAATTATAGTATTTTGAGGAAATAAATCTACTCTGACATGTATGATGGCAGGTGAGGTGGATTTAATCCTTCTTTTAATATAATTTTTTTAAGCAATATTCATTCAGTCTAAATTAAAGATAATTGAGGAATTACTCAAAATGACTTTGTCTTTTTAAATTGGGATTATTCATTTTAGGACTGGAAGGAAAAAAAAGTTATGATGGCACCACCCAATTTTTAAGTAATACTCAGATTCCAGACATTTAATGTCTATATTTATTAAGCACAGCAATTATTTTTAAATGAAGATTGTTAATGAAATAAGCATGTTCAAAAACATAACAACCAGTGCATTCAAATGTTATATTACACATTTTCATTACTTTCAAATACTCAAATATATCTGTGATGTCAAAAATTGGAGAGTTCCTGCCAATGATGCAGATCGTAATCCTTTCTGGCTTGCCAATTCAGTAACTTTTGTCCATATTCTCACAAAATCTCACCATGCTTGGAGGACTTCACTCTATCCTGGAGGCTTTCTTCACTTTTTGTAGACTTAATGATAATATTGGGGTACCCTAGCTGTACATGTCACCCCTTGTTCTTGCTATGTGATAGCCCCATCTTCTCTTCCTGTTACACAACTCCACCATGACATCCTTTACTATTATTCTTCAGAGGTCCTTGGTTATATGTTGCACCTTGCTCACAACTACCATGTGCCTCTCCTCACCAATGTCTTTTCTATGATACTCATCTTTGGTTCTTTGGAGGCAGTGCTAGCAACACAGTAAAACAGTATGGAAAATATGGTCTTCGCTTTCAGGGGAAGCTTGTGGGGAGGAGTGTCAGTAAATGAGCCTTGTGTTTTCATGAAAGTAGTCAGGCCCACTCTCCTTTTCAATTCTAGGCCCAGTCACTGACCATCTGTACCACCTGTTCCTGAGAGACTATTGGACAAATTCTACAGACTACATCCATCCATATGCAAGTTGATATCTTTTTTTCCCACTTGGTCTTTGCTGTGTGGATGAATGGGCTAGATTCTTTTGAGTGATGACAGCACTAACAGACATCTTTCTGGGAGCTCTGCAATGTTTTGGACAGCACAATGCTACTTGCAAATAGGAACATCTGGAGGACACCATCATCCACAGGGAATCCCTTTCTTGATCTGGGCTCTGTGCTGGATTTCCCTATCATAGTGGCAAGTGTAGATTTCCCTGTTGTATGTCTTGATATTAATTATTGGTCACCAAACAAGGCTATTTCTGCTGTTATATCAATAGCAAACAACCCTGATGTATGGATGGGAGACACCTTGCCTGTATCTACCTGTAGAGTGGCATTTTGTTCTATGGAATCAAATAGTTTTTTTTCTCCCCATAATCAAGCACAATGGCATCTTACATGCTCTACATCTGAATAGTGCTTATGAAATCTTGCTACTAGTGCCCTAATTGATTTGGCTCAATTATGGTGTAGATTCAATTCAATCATGGCACAGATGACTCTTAAAGACTTTAAAAAGTATCCATCAAGGACAGTGGAACTACCTCACTTGGACTGTAACATCATAGACCCTAAGGTACTCGTAGACTTACTCTCCCATCTGTACAAAATGAATTTACATTAGCATGAGACAGAGGGTGCTGAAGCTTAAAACTGCACTAAGACGTTTGGGATACCTGTATATAGAGTGATACACCTGTGAATCTTGTGTATTGGAAGCCTTTATACATATAAGCAGCACTTACTACGTCTATTTTCTAAAAGCCATTTATTTCATTTATCATTATTTGAAAATTACTAGTTTCCCTGTTAAAAAAATCAAACTAATTCTATTCACCTGAGAATACTTAATAAAGTTATTTGTTCCTGAATGTTCAGTTGAGGTTAAAACTTCAAACTTATTAAGAGAAGTTATTCAGTTTGTAATGTGTACATTTCTTGGGATTTTTTTTTGTTTACAATTATAAGTATTTCATAATAAATGAGGCAGTGAAAAGTAAGGATGATAACTTTTAAGAGTTAATTCTTCACAGAGCAGATGAAATCACAATGCACAATGATTTCAGAAAGTTGCTATTACATCTGATCATTTTAAAATGCTAAATTTCCCAATGAGATGATTTGAAAAAAATTACAGAGAAAAGAGTAAAAATGGTACAAATATTACTAACCTAAGGAGTTTGCTGGGTTTAGATTTCTAAACCAATTATTCTAACAATATTGTTTGATTTGGGGATTGAGTTCCTTAAGCAGAAAATGGTCATCACCACTTGTAGTTACATGCTAACATTGAAAAAGTTTGAGACATTTTCTTGCCAATATATGAAACAAGTAATTTTCTGTTGAATAGCACTCCCTATAAAAAAACAAAATTTCCCCACAAATTAATTTACATATTAATGCATACAAAAACATATTTAGAAGTAGGTGGTCTAATGGATAGTGCTGGACTTGCAGGAAGGAAGACTCAAGTTCAGATCTTGCCTCATTTATTTACTAGCTTTGTGATTCGGAGCAAGTCACTAGATCTTTCAGAAATTTGATTTCCTTATTAAATGGGGACAATAGTACCCATCTCACAGGGTTGTTGTGAGGATCAAATACGAAAAAATACTATGGAGCACTTTGCAAATCTTACAATGCTATATAAATGCAAGTTACTATTATTGCTACATTTATTCCAACTACAGAAATATTTAATGTTGAATTTAACTCAAACATACATATATGCACAAAGAAGATTCAAAGCATGAACAGAAGTAGTTTCACCCTTTAATACTCTATTTTGTAAATATCTTACCATATACAATCACTCTAACATAAAAAAGAACAGCACAATAATAAAAATAATAACGATCCAACATTAATAATCAATGAAATCTCTGTATATATATTTAAATAAACAATGTTCCCAGGCTGCTCAGTGTTAACAAAGACTTTCATAGCTAATTTGTAATCCTCTGAAAACAGAGGCTTACAAAATATTTATGAATGGCTTTGACAGTTTTTAGTCAGGGTTTATTGTGGCTTTTTTACATTAGTAAAATAATGAGATGGGGGGAACATAAGTGATTCCAGTTTCCTTCAAGAAGATTTCACTTCTTATTCCCAGGTGTTTTGTGTTCAATTGGATCATCTGATTTGCTATGTACAGTCTCTTTAGACACACTGATGGCTAAAGTAGAAAAAAAATATATTGCTTAGATTTTATAAGAACTAAAAAAATCCCAACAGCATTTTCTAATACTGGGAGCAAAAAATACAATAAGAATAGCTGGAACTTAAGTTGGAACAACTTTGGAAATACCCAGAAAGGTAAGATTTATCATATTTTACTTAAGTTTTTTTTTTAAAATCATAATACTCCAAACTAAGATGTCAGGATGCATATTAATACTAGTGAATGTCCTAGGTACTAAAAGTCAAACATGAAAACAGTCTCTCCCCTTGTTTTTACAGATGATGAGAGAACTTACTTGCTCACAGTCACACACAGGTATTTATTCACCGGGACAGCCAGGATTTGAGCCAAAGTATTCTGACTCCAAATTCAGTCCTCTCCACTACAGCACACTGCCTAACCTTGTAATGCAAATACTATTTATCCACATTTTAGAGGAGTTGAAATTGCAGCTCAGAGAGAGTAAGTGGTCTGCCCATGTCATATAACCACTAAGTACTCCAGGCAGAACTCAAAGCCAGGCCCCTCTGGCTCCTGTCTGATGCTCTTTCCACCATACATTATTACCTAAATACATTGCATGGAATGTTTACCAAGGATTAAGTCTTGAGATAATTTTAGATATGAACTTTAGCTCTGGCAGCTATGATTGCTCATTTCATATGCTAACTGAGATTTAAATGTAGACTATGGAAAATGAAACTGATAAAAAAAAATAACCACTGAATAGGAAAGTAGTGAAAGAAAAAGAGAATGATTTCCTTGAAAGTACTAAAAACTGATTCAGATGATACTTTTTCTTTCTTCTTAAAAATTATTTTTAAATATTGGAAAAGAAAAACAAAACCCATGTTAACAAATATGCATAGACAAGCAAAATAAACTCCCACATTCACCATGTCCAAAATATGTCTCATTCTGCATCTTGAGTCCAAACTGGTATATTTTCTAATGACATCATAGAAGCCTATTAGGCATAAAAAAACCCTGAGGACTCAAGTACTCTTGTTCCCAACTGACAGACTGCCCTCTAGTAGCAAGTCTTTGAAAGGCTAACCCAGTAGTCCTTCAGGCCAACTGCCACACACCAACTGCTGAGGTTTGTTGAAATTCCCAGCAGGGCAAATAAAGCAGCTAGGAACCCCTCCTCCTGCTGGACTCACAGTCATTACTGTTCTTCCCTCCTTATCACCTGTAACACTTCACCATCAGAAAACATGCAGAAAGACACCCCACTTAAGTGATCTTAAGGCTTCAGGGAAAATGAAAAATAGCCCTTGTTCACAAAAAAGAAGTACTGAGAACCCCAACCAATAAAATTTACAGTACTGACAGACAAATCTTCCTATTAAGGTTACAAACAAAATAAATAGGAAAAGATACATAGTCAAGTCTGAATTATTTATGCTACCTTTTCATATTTAATTCTAGCCCTACTTATTTCCTGTTAGCCAAGTAACCATAGGCAAGTCATTCAACCTTTATGAGCTAGTTTTTTCATCTGTCCATTGATGACAGTCACTATTGTGAAGATAAAATGAAATAAAAGGTACAGCAGAACTTTTTAAAAGAACTTTTTACATATTTAAGTCAATCTACCTACAAACACACTTGGCTACCCTGTAAAACAAAACAAAACAAAACAAAAAATCCCTAGCAAATGTTTTTGTTATATTCATTGCTTGAAGAAAATATACTATCTCCTTTTCATTGGCTTAGTTTCCCTTTTAGGCCCCACATACATACAAGGTTCTACTTAATGAATGGTTTCAGCAAGATAACTAACCTGAGAATGACTTAACTGGGCTTTCGATTCTGAAAAACCCGGCATCAAAAACTATCTTGTCAATTTCCTTTGCTTTTGATCCCACAGGAGCCACAATCTCAAACGTAGGCTCTTCCCGCTTCAGTTTCTCTTTCATTGAAGCTTTTAGAGCAGCCAGGCGACTTCGAGCTGCGGTTCTTGCAGCATCATCCTGTTTTGACTTGCATTTTTCAACTGGGACAGCTTTCTTCTAAAAAGAGAAAAAGTTAGGACATGTATTGAAGATGCTCACTTCTACCTGACAGTAAGCTATTCGGCAAACATTTTACTAAGGACCTACTGTATGCAGATGGCTGTGCTAGGTCCGGCTAGAGCAACAAAGGTGAGGGGAGAAGAGGGGATTCTTGTTTGTACAGACTTATATTTCGGTGGGGGGAGGTTAAGACAAAAATAAAACCCACAGATAACTATAATACATGATAGAACAACATTTATTAAAATGGTAAAAGACAAATTTCACCAATGGGGGGGGCTATTTCACTGAGAAGGTGGCATTGGAGTTAGTCTTTATAAAGGGTGTTCCTTTACTCTTCAAATCAAAGCTGAAAGACTACTTGCTGGGGATGTTTCAGAAAGAAAAGCTGTCCTAGCATAGATCCAACTAGATGATCTCTGAAGGGAGTAACCATTACCTCAACTAGGGTGGTATCTATGAGTAAAGAGAAGGGGACTTAAGTGAGGGATTTTACAGAGGCAGGAACAACAAGATTTAGGAAGTGATTATATTTGCGGAGTCCAGAAGGGTGAAGAAGTGAAAATAATGCCAAGATTGCAAATCTGAGAAACTGGTGGTACCCTTGACATTAATAGAGAAATTCAGAAGTGGGTTGGGTCCAGGAGGAAGGATAATGAGTTGTTTTGGACATGTTGGGTTTGGGGATGCCTATGGGACATCTTAAATATTTAACAAGCAGTTGGTGATAGGGGACTGGAGCTCAGGAGAGAGAAAGACTATGGCGAGGGATAGAGAATTGGGAGTCATCTTAAGATAGATAATGATTAAACCTATGTGAGAAGATGATGTTTGTAAGAGCATATAATTGAAAAGAAGGCTCATAAAAATCTTGGAGTACAACTACAGTTAGCAAAGGAGATTGAGAAACAGCTCAGAAAATAACCAAGAGAGCAGCATCATAAAAACTTAGAAGAGAGAGTACCTGGCAGGGTGGTCAACATTATCAAATGTTACAGAAAGGTCAAGAAGGAAGAGGACTGGAAAGAGGATATTAGATTTGGAGAACACTGGTAACTGTAAAGAGAATTTCACTTGAACAAGGTGAGAAGTCAGGTTGCAGAAGGCTAAGAGATGGAAAGGAGAGAAGCTGAGGATGAAAAAGGGAAGAGAAATGAGGGTAATAGCTAGAGAAAATGATAGGCTCCAGTGAGGGTTTTTTAAATATGGAGGGTAGCTGGGCTTGATTTTGATAGCAGGGAAGGAACTAGTAGATAAGGAGAGATGAAAATTAGGGAGAAGTGGGATAGATGATAGTGTGGGTGATCTGCTAAAGAAGACAGGAAGGGATGGGATCTAAGTAATATAAAAGGATTGGCTTTAGCAAGAAGCATGGTATTTGTATATCTTCTTTCTCCTACTAAACTCCTAAGGGTGGGGAGTTTATCTTTCTTGGGACTTAGCATAGTGCCTTGCACATGTTAGGTGCTCAATAAAGTTTGTTGAATAATTCTGTTTAGTGATGAAAAACAAAACTGCCCACTAAATAATAAATATTTAACAATATTAAATAAATAATAAACAGATAAATAAAATAATAAAAATTCAAAAATAATAAATAAAAACATTCGGTTGAAGGACTATAGAAGAGCTGATACCAGATTCTGAGGTCACCAGCTTACCCGAATAACTTTTTGGCTTATGGTGTTTTCTTCTTGCCATTCTGATTCCTGAAGCTTACTCAGTTTTTCAAATTTTTTGTTCACATCTTCTACCTATCGATAGATAAAAATTCAAGTGTTTATAAATCCATGACAACAGTGACTGATTAAATAGCTCCAATAACATTAGGATCTTTTCAAATGGAAATTCACAATTCAATATGCTTATAATAGACAATTAAAATCGGTAATAAAGTTCTGTAATAAAATATTGAAGAACTGGAAGCTCAGGCCCCAGTTTTAACCGCCTCCAATTTTGTGGGAACTTGGATTAGTCACTTAACTAGCTAGGTGTCTCCCCAGTGACTGCATCAGACAGGAAATACCTATCACATATCTACTTCACAATCACAGTAGTGACACATAAATAACTAAACATCATTAAAGGCAGTCAAGATAAACTGACTAAATAGATGTAAATACAAGTAATAAATGTTATTAGTGATTGACTGTTGCCACAAGTTAAAAAAGAAATGAGAAAATAATAGCTACAAATTGTTCCTAAGTATCATCAAGTTTGTTTTAAAAAAAAAAATAACCTGGTTAAGGGATTTAGAATAATGATAATCTATCAGTGTGCAGTTACGCTTGCATTTCTAAAACACACATAAAGGATTATGCTTATGAACAAAGTTCTAATGGTCATTTTTTCACCCTTAAAATGACAGGTAAAACCTTTAGACTAAGAATTCTTAATGAACATCCTTGGAAAGAAAGTAGTATCTAGAAAAAGTTGAAAGCAGTACCCAACAGTACTCAATTTGAAACTCAACTTTAAACACACTGTGATTACGGATTAGTATTCCTCTTGGAAAAATCCAGACTCCTATTCCACATATTAAACAGCATTACTATGTTAATGGAAGAAAAAAAAAACCTACATTCTTTGTGAGTTACATTTCCAATAGACACTACTTACCTGAAAATTAACCATATCCCAAAATCCATCCAGATCCATGCAGGTAATCTTCTTTTGGCCAGATTTATACTCACAGTCATTCACCAATCCTTCAAACTGGTTGAACCTTTCACTTATAAGGAGTCTTGTTTGACCAACTGTTGTGCAAATGAGATCTTTGGCTATTTGAAAAATAGGTTTAAAAAAAGTTCATTCATAAAGCACAAATATCTGGCTTGAAATCTGCCCCCAACTATGCAGAGAAGATCCCAAGCCCCAGTTTTCTTTTTTGTGGGTGTGGGTTGAGTGGGAGAGTTATGTAAGGCGGGAAGGGGAGGTCCAGATCTGTCATGCCACTGGTATAGGAAACTCATTCTATCAACTCCATTATAGACAGGCAATTATTCTGTAATTCATGGCCTTAGAAAGCTGCCCTGGGGATTGGGGGGTGGGAGGGGAAGGGGGAGATTATTGAGAAATTAAATGGTTGTCCAGGGTCACTCAACCAAAAGGCTAGTTTGGCTGAGGGTGGGGGAAGGGAAAGGAACAAGTATTTATTAAATGCCTACTATATGTGCTAGACACTATGCTAAGTGCTTTATAATTATTATTTCATCTGATCCTCACAACAACCCTAGGAGGTAGCTATCATTATTGTGGCCATTTTACTGTTGATAAAAGTGGGGTAGACAGAGGTGGAGTGACTTTCCCAGTGTGTAAGCATCTAAGGCCACATTTGAACTCAGGTCTTCCTGACTCTAGACCCAGGGCTCTTCATGGGAAGAAAACTGTCTAACAAATAGAGGCAATAGGGAAGCACTTGGATTTTATTGTATGGGGGTGACATGATGAGACCTGCACTTTAAAAGTATTTTGGCAGCTATGTTGAGGAGAGTAATTTCACGTGAATGTGAAAAATGTGAAGCCAGAAGCCAGATTACTGAGGCAGCAAATAAAAATGGCCAAAGGTCTAAGTCACAGGAAAAATTGTGATCAAATAGAGCCATATTCCACTCTAGCAGAGAAATACAAGAAAATTAATGTTCATATCATACTAAACAGAAATTTCTCCTTCAGCAATAATCAAGCTCTAAAATAGACCAACTCTAGATTTTAAAAAATCACTAAAATAAATTTGAGAGCATACGACACAAATGATGCCTTCTTACCATCATCAGGAATATCCAGCGTAAGTTTCTTTTCCCATTCATTGCAGCATCCTGTTAACCTCTCAGTTTCTGATTGAAGAATGTTTCTAATTATGACAGAAATATTTTAATTTTACAACTGCTTCCCCACACCCTAGTAGTTGAATATAATTAACATTTCCATATTCATACACAAAAGGAGATGAATGTGAATATTAAAAATTAGTATCCATGTCTTTCAATATAAATATGTTAAAATATTCTATACACAGAATATAGTATGGAATATTCACATTTAAAACTGAAGTTACATTAAGCAATCGTGTAACTGGATATGCCTTCACCATAACATCAGCCTTGAAGAGAACAGCAAAAGCAAAAGCTTTCATCAGTTTTTGATGTGACATGTCTACATTTGCTCTCTGTTGATTTCTCATGGGGATGAACCTAGCCAGAACAATCAGGACATGATGCATCTTGAATTTTACTTCCTAGACAAAATGAACTCTGTCTTTTCCCAAAGTTATCCTGTCCTTTCTGATATTAATGCTTTGCTATTTTTTTTAAAATTTGGTTTATTTATTTGCTTTTTGGTGAGGCAATCAGGGTTAAGCGACTTGCCCAGGGTCACACAGCTAGCAAATGTCAAGCATCTAAGGTCACATTTGAACTCAGGTCCTCCTGAGTCCAAGGCCGGAGCTCTTTCCACTGCGCCACCTAGTTGCCCCTTTTGCTATTATTTCTAATGCCTAGAATGTCTCTCTCCCCTTTCTTCACTTATCCAATTTCTATCCATCTTTCAAAATCCAACTGAAATACTAAGTCCTCAATGAGGCTTTTCATGAGCGCTACCCATGGATTTCCACCCTTGATATCTCATGTAGCACTTTTACACTGCTGAAATGTACTTTTGATGTAATACTTCAGCATTACATTTATCAATGTGTAGAACACCCCCAGTACACCCCATAGGCTCCACTGGGGCAGGGATCAGATGTTATCTCTACTATATATCTCCCCTGATGCTTACCCTCTGCATAATCAATATTTAATAAAATGTTTATTAAGGCAAATAAAAATCTTTAGCTGCCAAGAATCAAAGCGACAAACCTGAAATATGGTACATCATGTGGTGGTGCTGCTTGATGTTCAAGTATTTCAACCAAAGGGATATGTGCATTTAATGGAAGGTTATCTGAACTTGTTTTAGTACCTCCACTTTTATTTGAAAGATGATCTATAATTTAAAAAAAAAAGAAACAACACCTTAAGAGTGAAAACTCAAGTTTGTAAAACAGTTCCTCTCTTTGGCAACTAACTTTCACAAGCCTTTTGATTTTTCATTGCCATTTTCTTCTCCCAGAGGCAGCAGGTCTATACTATAGTACTGGGGTACTAGATATACCCCAAAGCTCTGTCTTAGGCCCCTTCTTCTTCCTTTTCTCTTGGTGTTTTCATCATTTTAACATGGAGTCTAATTATTATCTCAATACTGATGACTACAGGTTAGAGCCCTAGTTTCTCTCTTGAGCTCCAGCCCCCATAAATCAACCACTTATTGGCCATTTTAAACTGGATGTCTCACAGGCATCTCAAACTCAACATGTCCCTAGCTGAACACATCTGCTTTTATCTCCCAAATTCACCCTCCTTCAAAACTCACCTATTTCTGATTGAGAGCACCATAATCCTTCTAGTTACTCAGGGTTCACAACCTCAGTGTCTTTCTTACATGTGCTAACTCTTTGCTATCTTTCATTTCACATATCTGATCAGTTTCCAAATCCTACTCTTTCTGCCTACTTCTCTGGCACCTCTCACCCAGACTATGGCAATAACCTCATATTAAGCCTCTCTGCCTCAAGTTTCTCCTCACTCCAATCCTTATTTCACCCAGCTACCAAAGTGCTTTTCCTAAAATCCACTGCTTCCCAATGACCTTTAAAATCAAATATCAACTCCTGTGACCTTTAAAACTCTTCACAACTTGACCTCAACCTACCTTTCCAACATTCTTACCAATTACCTTTCTCATACTCTATGGTCCAGACAAACTGCCCTGGGCCAGAGAACAATGTCATGAAAACTCAGAGGACAGAGGGGTCTGCACTACCAAATGCTCTAGAGGGATCAAAGAAGACAGTGTTTGCATAAGTATCACAGAATATACAATGAATGAAAGGTCCCTAGACGAGAGGCCACTAGCAGCTCTGTGTGTGTGTGTGTGTGTGTGTGTGTGTGTGTGTGTGTGTAGAATTAAAGAAGATATTTGAGCTGAGGTTTGAAGGAAACCTAGGATTCCAAGAGGTAGAAGTGAAGAAAGAGAGCATTCTATGCTTGGAGTACAGCCAGGGCAAAGGCAGAGAGGTGGGAGACAGAGTGCAGTGTATTCACAACAGCAAGTAGGCCAGGGTAGTTAATGTACAAGACTGAAAAAGTAGAAAGGAGCCCAGTTGTAAAGAGATTTAGGTATCAGAGGAGCCTCTATGTAATCCTAGAATATGGAGCCACTAAGTTTGATTAGAGGGGGTGATATTGATCAAACCTTTGCTTTAGGAGAATCATTTTAGTAGCTTTGTTGAACATACCCTGGAGTGGGGAGATCAAATAGGCAACTGCAATGGTCCAGGTGAGATGTGATTAAGGTCTGAACTAGGGTGAAGAGAGGTCAAACATGCAAGAGATCTTGTGGAGGAAATAAAGAGAGTTGGTAACAGCTTGGATACAGGGGTGAAGGAGGGCAAAGAGCTGAAGAGGACAATGAGACTGAGCCTGGGGTGAGGTTTGGCAGGGTACAAATGGCAACAGGACTCTGAAGCCAGGGATTAGAAGGCAACAGATGGTGTAGCATTGAACTAGTTTATTAAAGAATTGAGAGTGGGAAGGGAAAAGAGTGCAGTCAGAATAGTTATGATAGCCAAGAAAAGTAATGATTTAAGGGGTACAGGGATTGGAAGCTGAGGAGAGAAGAACAGAGTTAGAAAGAGATAAAATATAGGAGATTATCATCAGATAAAAGAAGCTCTCGGTTCTTAATTATGGAAATGGAACTCTTGTGGGTGATGGCACAATCAAGGTTATGACCATCCTTCAGCCTTTCATCTCTCCAAACTATTTAGTGGTGATTCTTTTTTTCATTCATTCATTATCTTCTCAGTTGGTATTCCTTGTTCTATCTCCATCACCATCCTCTAATCATATTTCCTCACCTCTCCTGGCCTTAAGGGTTTCTAGACAAACTAATCCTGAATCACACAGTAGAAATTATGCTGAACAGATTTTAATAATTTGTACTCTAAACAGATCAAAATTTAACAAGTTTACTTACTATACCTTTATCCAGAATTTCCTGGGACCTTGGAGGAGTTTGCAGATCAATCAGATCCTGCTGAACTGGGCTATTACAGTGAGGTTTACTTTCTTTCAAAGTTTCTCTTTCTGATCCCTGAGAGTTATCACTAAAACAACAACAACATCAAAAAACTGCTTCAGGCAATATGGAAAATCAACATGACTCCACATATTTTACTTCATAGAATTTGAAATTAGATTTACATATTGTTTACAAATTTCACTTTCTAAAAAAAAAATCTTATTTATAGGCACCATTCATATTTACTTTGAATCAAAGAAATTCTAAGATTCATTAGCATCTTATTAGAATACTAAAAGGAACTTGTTCAGTTCATTCTTTGTGACTGCATGTGGGGTTTTCTTGCTGAAGACACTGGAATGGTCTGCCATTTTCTTCTCCAGTGGATTAGGCAAACAGAGGTTAACAGAGGTTAAGTGACTCTGAGGCCTGTTCTGAACTCAGGTCTTCCTGACTCCAGGCCTAGCACTCTATCCACTGAGCCAGCTAGTTGCCTTTAAAGGCAGGTAGGAAACTTACTGTCCAGTAAAAGATCTTGGATAAGGGAAGATAAAATTGCTGACTGCCATTGCAAAATAACTTTGTAGCCATCTTGTTACCTCAAACTTCTATTGGCTTTCCTTAGCTTTCTAAAGTATCTTGATACTTTCCTTATTTCTAGAGGTAGTCAGTCTTCTTTAAGAGCAGAGTTCTAGAAATAAGCATTTCTGAAACATTACTACTGCCAACAATTGCGCTTTCCTAGAAATTGTTTCTGGCAGTATTGATAAGCAAACAAAGATTCACACTGAAAACACAGTTTGCGTTGAAGAATGAGACTATGTTTCCCTCTCTGGTCCCCCCTCCAAACCCCCCCCCAAAAAAAAAACCAACCCATAGGAAAATGTCTCTTACTGGAATCTTTTGAAGAATAAGAACAAAAATACTCCTTGAATTTAAGAAATTACAGTAAAGTAGTGCTTATAAAAAAACACAGGCTAAACAAAATACAAGTCACGAACTTCTGTCATACAACTTAGCAAAAAATAAACTACAATAAAATAATTAAAATTGACTTCTTACTTTTTAATCTGTAAAGGGCTCCAGAAACAACTAAGTTCCACATAAGTATGTTCCTTTTGTGGGGAAATGGGTTTCATTCCATAGTTCACTAGACTATCTAGTGGTTGAAACACAAAATTTTCAGGTGCAAAAGAGGATTTCTCTCTCACTTGGGAAGCAAAATTTGTCTCAGGTAAGTATTCTTTTCCAAGAAATTCAGCAATTTCTTCTGTTGGTGATTTTCCAAAGTTATTAGAAGGTCCTTCAGTAAGTGGGTCCTTTGAGCAATCTTCTTTCTCTCCAACTTTGGAAGGAAGATCCTAGATGTAAATAAATAGTCATAGTAGATTAACGGTTACTAGGCTATGACATGTTAAATGAATGGATAAAGGTATAGGGCTAAAAAGGCAGCAGGCAGTTTGGAGAGAGAATTCGCCTTGGAGTCAGGAAAACCTCAAGTTCCAGTTCTGCCTTGGGCACACATTGACTGTATGAACCTGGACAAATCACAGTCTCTTGGTGCCTCCAGGCAGCTCTGTAGGACTAAGCTGTAGCACCACTGGTAAGCTCTATCTATAGAAGGAACTTCCCTACCGGGAGTTACCAATGCCAATGGAATCTCAGACCTTCCCTCCCCCAACAAATTTATCTGATAACACACTCAGCAAATGAATCTGCCATGGAACATTCATTTTAAAAGTTTCCTGGCCATCGTGCACTGACAAAGTGATTCCAAGTGGTGTTAGCAATTCTAATAGTGGAAGACTGTCGTCCCTAATTAGAAGTTAAGGTGTTATAGAAAATCTTGGTAATCTATAATATTGTACAATCAATTATCAACTTGATAAGTACTCTCCTTTTTCCCTTGTGTCCACTAAATACATGCAGCATTATAGGAGGAAAACACAAACCTTGGTACTTCAAAACTGTCAAAGCCCGGGCTACTGGAACTATGGGATAGATTACATGACATAAAATGTATCCAATTTCTTATTCATAACTGTATCTTTGTTACAGCAGCCTTCTTCTATTTTCATATTCCTTTTTGTCCTCTCACCAGGCTTCCTCTTACTTTAAATAAGAGGTTCTCAAAGTGGTTGATAATGCCCCTTGGCAGGTGCTAGAATGATCCAGGGGGGCAGTAGTAGCATTGGTGCAATTGGAGGGCATTGAATAAAAATTAGGGGGCAGTGGAAGCACAAGGAAAGAAGAGAAGACAAGAAAATTTTGAAAAACTGTTCATATATCTTTCATCTGTTGCATAAGAGAGTTACAGTCATAGCCATTACCTTATTTTCCAAATAAACACACATAATGCAAATTATAACCAATCAGTGGTCAAGTCCCCTAACAGGTCTTAACAAGCAAGTGTTGGCAGCCAAGCATGCCATGCACTGTCGGGAAGTGTAGCATGCATTGGCATGTAATGACTTGTTTACAATACGATACCATACGGTTACATGGCAATATTGCATCATTAAAATTTCAATGGAAAAAAGCCCACAAATTTACAATAAATTATTAAACTTAAGATGCATCACTAAAAAAATTTTTATACTTTTTGAAATGATGCAAATTAAAAAAAAACAAAACAGTTAAAGGGCTAAAGAAAGCAGATTTCCAGGAGGGTGCTGAGGGAACAACAGGCCAAATAAATTTGGGAACCTCTCCTTTATTATAAAAGCACTGATGATAATAAGAATAGGGATTGGACTTGTAATTTCAATGATAGAGGGAATTCACAGAGGAGGTGATGTTGGCTGACACCTTCTCTGCACTTCAAGAGACTTAGAGCACTGTGAGGATCACATGTCTTGTGTGAGAGAGAAGACCTGAGCCCAGGTCATCTTAGCTCATGTCACACCACATATAGTTGTTTAATGCCAACGTTTTAAAATACCTAAAAAAGTGCCAACCAATCAATAAACATTTATTAAGCACCTAGTATGCTAAGCACTGGAAATACAAAAAGAAGCAAAAGACAGACCCTGCCCTCAAGGCCAATAAAATCTAATGGCGGAAGACATGTAAATAAATATACCCAAAGCAAGCTATATACAAGATAAGAAGGAAACAATTAACAAAGAGAAGGTACAAGATTTAAGAGGAGTTAGGAAGGTTTCCTACAGAAGGTGAGATTTTCGTTGGGTCTTAAAAGAAGCCAGAGAGGCCAGCAGTTGGAGCAGAGATGGGAAAGCAATTCAAGCCTGGAAGACAGCCAGAGAGACCACCTGAAGCCCAGAGATGGAGTATCTTGTTCAGGAAACAGCCATGATAACTTTATGTTTCAGGAAAAGCCCGGGCACAAGACAGTTAACCTAATTACACTGGCACTACATTCTCAATTTTTGCTTTCTTATTTCAGTTACTTTAGGTATTTGAAGTTTCCAAAGGCATTTAGAAAAACAGCCTCTATGTGCCTCCTGTTCTGCCCCTCCCCCCTCAGCCATTCATCAAGTAATTATTAATTGCCTACTGTGTGCCACGTACTTGCTGGAGACACAAAGACAAGAACAAAAAACACACTCCTAAGTAGTCCCTTGCCTCAAGAAGCTTACATTCTTCTCAAGGTTGGAGGCAGGAAAATAGTTCAATGACCTCTGACTGTCATCCCAGGATTTAATGAGGGAATAACAATGAGCTTATAAAAAGAGCCTAGCTAAGTAAAAGGGAACAACATCATAGAATCCAAGGCCTACACAATCTTAAGAGTTAAGAGAACTTATTGGCCAAATGGTCCAACCCATTCCTGAAGAAGAATCAGCTCTCTGCCTGGTCTCTAGAATTTGCTTGAAGACATCCAGTGATGGAGAACCCACGTACCTAAAGGCCACTCATTCTATTTGGGGATGAATGTTATTTGTTTATTATGGATTATTATAATGAATGAATGTTATTTCACTCATCGATGGATTAAATTCATACCTTTACTTTTTCTGCTTTAAGTTCAATCTTTGGAGGAGGTCTTTCTTCAGTTGGTGTTTTTCTTTCTGGTTGGTTTTCTGAAAGATGAAATAAAAATAGTCAGTTTCACTTGAAAAAAGATATTATAGCTAAGCAAACATACTATTATTTGAGAGAGATTAAAGCAAATTATAAAAACGTATTATCTTGGAAGGATTGTCATTGAAAGCCTACTATAAAATGGGGATGAGAGAATATAAATGAGAAAAAAATCCTCTTCAGAATAAGCTAATACACTTTTCAAGCTTTCCTTAAACCTATTTGTTTTTCCTGTTCTACAATTAAAAAATACACACACAGCTTCCAATTTGAAATACTAACCACACAAACCATTAGTGACTACAACATTTCAGTTTCTGATAAATCCATGATCAACATTTTACTCACCACTGACAAGTTTCGGCATTGGCCTTCTCACTGGAAGAGATGAAGCTAGTCTAGGGATGTGCTTTGCTGCTGATCTGGTCACTCTCATATCAGGTTGTGGAGCTGTAACGACAAAGTTCTTTTTATCGAAATCAAAATCTACTTGGAATACAGTAAGCTATTCTTGTGGCAGCATCAACACATTATAGTTCAAAAATCTTCATACCTTTCTTTTCCTTGTTAGAATGGTGTTCAGAAGTTGGCTTCTGGCCAGGTTGGACTGCTTCCATATTGTGCCCATTATTGACCTGGTCAACATAGATCTATTAAAAATTAGTAGGTGCTAAACTGAGTTCTTCCACAAAAAAAGGCTCAAATGACTTGAACACACAAAACATAAATGACAACAAAGGCCAAAGTGACATAGGATAATAAGAGAAAGGATAAATATTACAGAGTCTCAGAGTTGGAAGGGATCTCAGAGGCCAACTAGTCCAAGTGATAGCTAAACAAGAACCCTTCTGACAATACCTGATGGGTGATCACCCAGCCTTTGCTTGAAGAGCTTTAGTAAAAGGGAACCCATTCTCTCCCAAGGCAATCTACTTTACTTCTGGATCTAATTTTTAAAAAACTTTTCCTTATACTGAATCCAAATCTACAAACTTCAGAGAGATATAGCAAAGGAATGGAATCATCAGCTGAATTATTAGGATAAAGGGAAACGAGGGTAGGAGTTTGACAGACATTGGATGAGGAAGGACTGATTGTTTGGAGTTGCCATCATTAGAGTCCTGTGATGACTGGCACCTTCTGGATTTGACTTGTCCAGTCTGCACGGATTTAGGCTACCTCTCAAGCCCTACTTCCTACTACTCTCATGTGTATGTGTGCATGCGTGAGCACACACACACACACACACACACACACACACACACATACACACACACTCTCTCTCTCTGGATCTTGCCACACCCTGCAAAATGGTTTACATTTTCCACCTCCAGTTATTGAACATGCTTCTCAATCTCCTTGGAATACCATCTCTCTCCATTCCATCTAAAACCACCAAAAGCCTACTCATCCTTCAAGGCCCAGATCACATACTATCCGTAGGTAGAAGTGACCTCTTCTTCCTTCAATAAACACTATTTCTACCATTCCTGGTACTGGATACATAATTCATGTTCCCCTCTTAGATGGTAAGTTCCTTAAGGGCAGGGAGCAAGCATATTTGTGTGTGTGTGTGTGTGTGTGTGTGTGTGTGTGTGTGTGTGTGTACTGTTTCTCCCCCCCACCTCGCAGCACCCCAAATGCATTTAACTATTGTTAAATGAAGATTAAGATCCATCCACCTAGATCTGTTAATTTCCCGTAGGTTAATTGCTCATTTATAGCTCAGATTATCCATACCTCGTGATACAGCAGAAAGAATAATAGGCTAGAAAATAGAAGATCCAGTTCTAGTCTCACCTCTGTTACTTACCAGCAGCATGATGGGCAAGTCACTTTACTCTTAAGTCCTAGCTTCCTCATCAATAAAATAAAGATACCACCACCTATTCTGCCTAAGAGAGCTCTTTTTGAACCTCAAATGACACAATGTAAGAAATTACTCAAGTGGATCTGTGGTCTCATTGATCTCCAGAGATGCAAGACTATAACATGTCCAGTGTGACTTGTCTATGTTGCTCCAATAGGTCACCACAGAGGGAGTCCACCCACCATCCTGGAGGCCCTCCTCACTTTCTTCTATCATAATGATGGCACCAGTGGATACTGTGGCTGTCTATCTTTTATCCCTCTTGTCATGTGACCAACCCATCTTTTCTTCCCATCATACAATTTCATCATGACATCTTTTACTGCTATGCTTCTTCAGTTCTTTATTGGTTATATCTTGCAGACACATAACACCCACCATTTGTCTCCTCTGTCCTTTCTATGATACTCATCTTTGGTTCTTTGGAGGTAGTGCTGTTCTGACACATAGAAACATCAGTTAAAAAAAAATGGGTCTTTGCTTTCACAGGAAGCTTGGGGCGAGTGAAAGAGTTTTATAATTTCCCCAAAGCAAACCGCTCTGCTTGTCTCCTTTTCAATTCTAAGCCCAGCTCATCGTCAGGCTGCACTGTCTGTCCCAGATACATCTATTACTGAGCAAGGTATCTATCAATGTGTCTGTTTAAACCCATGCAATAGATATTTAGTCCACTTGATCTCTCCCGTGCAAATGGACAAATCAAATTCCTTTGAGTGACCACAGGCCCAGACAAGCTTCACAATGCCTTGGGGCTTGATATGATCATCACGATGCCATCTGTGAGCAGAACCTGGAGAACCTGACCATCCACATGGAATGTCTGTATGTTTGTTTCTTCCTTCCTTCTTCCCTAACACTCTAATTCATTATTTATTTTTGACTTTAAAAAAATTTTTTTGAGTTCCAAATTCTCTCCCTCCCTCCCCCACCCTGAAACAAGCAATTTATCAATCATACATGTGAAATCATACAAAACATTTTCATATTAGCCATATTTTTTTAAAGTAAGAAAAATAAAGTGAGAAAATTATACTTCAATTTGCACTCAAAGTTCATCAGTTCATCTCAGCATCAGTTCTCTCTCTGGAGGTAGAAAGCATTTTTTCATCATGAGTCGCATGGAATGTCTTCTTGACCCAAACTCTGTCCTGGATTGCCTCCATCACATTATTCCTCACCTAATGTATTCTTAGAGGGTCACGGAATAGGGTGATTTCTGTTAGGACTTCCAAGGAATTGAGAATGATCTTGATGTAGAAATTCAAGACACCTTGCCATAACAGCTTCTAAGGCAGTTTTGTTCTATGGAATGAAATACTTTTTCGAAATCAACAATGAGCGCAATGAGATCTCTCAACACCTTTCAGTTAACTGAGACTCACTATTAAATAATACTTGCTTTTCTCTTTGCAATCTCATTGCTTAGCATAGAATTTACATATAGTAAGAGCTTAATAAGTACCTTTCCATTCATTCATCTTTTTCTCATTTTTCTTTTTTAAAAACCAATTCTTATCTTGTTCTTATCAGTTTTGAAAAGTTGATGCTTAGAATGTACAAAGATAGCTAACTCAGGGATAACTCCCATATCAATATCAAGTCTTTGTTAAAATGTAGTTAGTTCTGTTGGTATAAAAGCTACCATTATTTTCATGGTGATCTTTTTGCAAATACTTGTCACTAGTACAGCAATATGCAATGATCAAATGTTCCTTATTAAAGCACTGGAAGGGCTAATTGGTCTAAAAATTTTACACAATTAACATTACTTCACAGATGGTAAATATCTACAGGTGTGCAAAAACCAGAAAATTTACTACTGATTCTTTGAAAAGACAATAAAGAGACTTCATAAACTGATTAAAATACCTTTGGCTGATTCATTTGGTCTTTAGCCTTGGACCTTGTGATCCGTACAGAGGTCTGAGTAGCCTAGAGTAAATAAAATAAGTAAAAGAATTTAGAGAAAAAAATCTAAGTGATGTACTTATGGGCCCTTTCTATCTATCTATCTATCTAATCTATCTATCAATATCTATCTATCTATCTATATATTTTTTAAATAAACAGCTCCATCTTTTCAATGAAATTGAGAGCAAAAGAGATTCTCCCCATCTACTTAGGTTTTTGCTTTCCTGAATAAGGAATTCCCCAGAAGTTGAGCAGCTTTACTGTAGTGTTTCATTTATTTGTAGGGTTTTAAAAACCAAGTTTTTAAATGGAGATTCACAGATTACATCTTATTTCTTAAAATATTTGTTGAAGGAATTATTTCAAATAATTCTAAGGTATGGTCTTACTGGTCATGTCACTCAGAATCAGAGAACCTCAGAATTGGAGTGAACTTTAGAAGCCATCTAAACTAATGTCTAACTAAACAGTATCCTTTCTATAGCATGGCTAGCTAACTTTAGCCTAAAGATGTCCAGGGAAGGGGGAAAACCCACTATTTCCTGAGGAAGCCCATTCAACTATCTTGAATGATTCTAATTATTAATTCTTTCCTTAAATCAACCCTAAATTTACCTATTTGCAACTTCCATTTACTGTTCCTACTTCTGTTCTCTGGGACCAGGTAGAACATGTCTACTAATTCTGCTTCCCCATGTCAGTCCTTCAAATACTCCATCTGGGGAAAGGGGTTAGTGTAACTGTTTTAACCTCCACTTTTCCTTGTCACTCAAAGATGAGAAACTTGATCACTATGTAAATGTAAGCATGTTAAAAACAAACCTAAGTTTGACAAATTCTATATCGCTGAGGCTTTCTTGGATCAAACACCCAATTCAAGCAAATTACAAAACTGGTATTATCCTACCTAACAGAGTAGCAAAAAAAACTTGAATTCCACTCCCCTTATGCCCAACTCCACTGAACTCTCCCCTGAAAGCTAAATTTTGTTGTCATAATAATTCCTAGTAACTTTAACCCAAAAGACTTTCTGGAAGCATTTCATTTTCCCAGGGGAAAACTACTGCTAATCAAGCAAAGTAGTTTTTGCTTTGCTTATTTGTTTCTATTTGTTTAAAAGATTAGCAGCCCAGGTGGGGAGATGTTCTCTGGGAAACCTATTTCTGACTCCAGTGGTTTTAAGTAATGATTGTAGGTGCTACTGGCAAGCTGAAGACTTAGGAGTTTACAGAGTAAAAGTGTGTAGGGGGCGAGCATAACAGGAAATAGTTCTAGTAATGGGGAATGATGAGGCCAACAATTATTTTAGTCTACACAAAAAGACAATGTGCTGAATAATATCACAACTCTTACATTGATTTTAATGTATTTAAAAGCAGAAAGTAATTCAAGTACTCTGACATCATTATCAATTAGCTTGAAAAGGGTAAATTAAATTCACAAATTGGCATGGCTCCAACTTACTTGAATCATAAATTAAGTGAATTTTACATAATGCTTAAAAAATCAAACACCATCTATAGCATTATTACTGTTATTTGTTTAGGGAGTTTACCGTCATAACACTGGAAATATGATAGTGTGCCTTACTGAATAGGCTCAATGGTCTCAATATACTATTCTGTCTCTTATGTTGGCAGAGAAGGGTATTTTGTAGAAAATATGTGGTTGCTTACATAAAATTAACCTCAAAAGATTAGTGATCTACTTGGACATGCCCTGAAATTCATTATGGAACTAATCTAATTAACCTATTGATTAATTTAAATGCTTGATTCTACTGTTTTAGCAGAAGCCTAGACTAGTAAGGTTCTTTAGAGCTTACTATGTCCTATGTGAAGTCATAGTTGAAGGGTTGAAGTTTCCACAAAACAGTCCACAAGGACTCCAAGAATATAACTCATAGCTCATTAGTTTAGAAGGATTACTCTCTAAAAATGTGTTATTTTTTATATACAAAAGTTAATCTGATACTTTTCTGCCTTTATCAAATAGCTTTGTGAGGTCTTCTTGCAGTTTATGCCCACAAGTTTGGCATTTCAATATCTAGATGAGCTTAGTATTATCTGAAAACAGATACTAATTGCATATTTTCATTTCCAAATCCTTTCTAATGAACAAAAGAATAAGCAGAGAGAACTCATTAACCTCCACTCAGCTTAAAATGCCTACGTATCTGTATTAGGTATCACCTACCCAAACAACAGCTATTATAAAACATTTCCATAGACACAAACTTACATGCTGATTCATAGAAATAAATAGTAATATTCTTTGGCAAAGAAATGTGTCAATGCTTTTTGAAAGTCTTGAAACAATGAATTAAAATTTACAGTGGCTAAGTGGGTTTATTTTTGCCTTCTAGAACGTTATCCAGATTTTACCTACAAACACTACTACAGCCGATTCAACATTATTTTTTGGCTAATTCTTTATTTCTACCTGCATTTTAGGCTTTTTTTCTTCTTTTTTTTTTGATGAGACAATTGGGGTTAAGTGACTTGCCCAGGGTCACACAGCTAGTAAGTGACGTGTGTCTGAGGCAGAATTTGAACTCAGGTCCTCCTGACTCCAAGGCTGGAGCTCTATCCACTGCACCACCTAGCTGCCCCTAACATTTTAGGCTTTTTAATTGTAAATTCTGATACTTCTAGTGCCTCTGACCTATTTTTTTATGTCTCTAAAAATCTCATTTCTTAACTATATCCCTTGTAGAAATAAAGTTATCTTAGAATAGAAACTTCCTATCAGCCTCTTAATTCATTAAGTTAGTATGCACATATCATTTGTGACCATTAAGAGGTAGCTCAGCGTCAGGAGATAGAGCACTGGACCTGGAGTTAGCAAAACCTGAGTTCAAATCCAGCTTCAGACACTTACTAGCTTACTATGTTACTCTAGGCAAGTAACCTAAATTCTATTTGCTTTAATTTTCTCATCTGTAAAACGGGGATAATAATAGCCCCTACCTCCCACGGGTTGCTGTGAGGATGAAATGAGATGATATTTGTAAAGCATTTTTCAAACCTTAAGGTACTATATTAATGTTAGGTATTATTATTACATTATTTTTTAAACTTTTACAAAGATTCCAGTTAGCTCATTTTTGTCCATTTAAGATGTCAGTTTACCTTCTTTGGTTCAGGTTTCACTGTCTTCTGTCCTGGAGGAGGTCTAAGAAACTGCGGTGGGTCAGGTTTGTAAAGCCCAACTTTAAATACCCCTCCTTTGACTTTCTCTCGCTGCTCTTTCATTTTTTGAAGCAGCTTTTTCTCTTTATACTGCTGAAGCATCTCCTTTCGCTGATTACTCAGCATCTGGCGTATACTATTGACAGTTAACTCTTAAGGCAAAAGAAGCAATACAACATGTGAGATACTTAAAAGGATTGTCTAGCCCCAGTGAAATCAGCCACCATGACTTGGTATAAGACCAGTTGTCCAGCTATGCATCAAATGATTCCTCCCTGCACACTTTCAGAAAGGTTATTCCTAACTTTTTACATTCTCCATCCATTCCCCATTCTACTGTCCTCTCAAGTAAGAAAAAAAGTCAATGTTTTATTGATATTTCTAAAAATCCTTTACGATCACCATCTAACAAACTGCAATTTGGCTTCTTGACCTTGTGATTTTACTGAAAACACATCCTTAAATACCTTAAGTAGCCTCATCGTTTCCAAATGCAGTGTGGTCTTTTCTCAGTTCCTTATCAGACACCGATGAATAGCCTTGTTCTTGACATGACCTCTTCCCTTGACTTTCCTGAAATGAAGGTCCCTCAATTCCATTTTATCTTTGATTCCCTTCTACATTCCCTCTCTTCTTCTTCTTGGTCCCTAACTGTAACATTCTCCAAGTCTTCGTCCTTGGCCCTCTGTTCTCTTTAAATGTATTTCTGTGTGTATTATACATACTTTCAGTGAATTACATATAATTACACACGCACACAAACCCTTTTGCACTGGTGAATTGATTCTGGCTCATGGCATCAAATGTCACTTCAATGTTAATGACTCAAATTCATATTTGCAACACTTCTTTCTTAACCAAACTCCACGATTACATACATTAATTAGTACTGCATCTTCAATTACCTGGCCATCTCTACAGAAATGTTCTACATATTTAACACATCCCAAATGGAATTCATCATCACTTTCCCTTCCAAAGAACCCCAATTCTTCATTCATATTGACGGCACCACTATCCTCCCAGTCACCAAAATTCAAAGTAAATTATTGACTCTTCCATCTCTTGAACATCCTATCAGGCGCCAAGTCCTCCATCTGCATAATTTTTTAATATCTTTATATCTCTAACATCTAGTGGGTGGTTAATAAACATTTGTTGAATTGAATTCCTGTAAGGCTATTGTGTAAGTGGCTATTGTTACTTTTTTTTTACAACATCCATATTTAAAAACCTTTCACCCAAAGTGTTTGCTCTGAAGCTCTACCTTCTCCACATGTGATTACCCTTTGGCTCAATTTCTTAAGAAGTTTTCCAATGATTTTCCAGCTACAATAAGCTATACTCACTTGGCTTGACAGTGTCCTTTTCCAGAATGTTTTCAACAGTCTCATCTAGTGGAGGAAGATTTCTCTCTTCTAAGGATGTGGTATTGACATCTATTAAGCCAAAGTGTCTATTCTGTTCATATTTCTTATATCTGTTTTCCTTCCACGTAATTGATTTTCGGCGAGCAACTTTGGTTCTTATCATTTCTATGCTTGTATCCCTTCTGTAGCGAATAGGAATTGATGAAGATGCCATCTTATTCCAAAAACAATCCTGCTTATTCCTGGACAAATACAAAAAAGAAATTACTGAGATCTAAATTTTGTGGTCTATAATCTTATGTTACTCAAGGAGTTATTAGCACCCAATATTTTTGGTACATCCCAAATGACAGTATAGTTTATCTTTACTTAAAACTCCTTTGTACATTGGTATCACTGCTAAAAAAATATGTAGTAACAAATCAATACTGGGGACAAATTTTATTTCTAAAGTTTTGTTTTTTTAAAAATTTGTTCAGGTTTGAGAAAATGGGAAAGGAAGAAAGTAGCTAGATAAGGGAGAGAAAGGGGCAGTTGATCACCAAGGCTTTTGGTATCTATGGTTCAGGAAATGCCAAATGAGCTGTCTTTTTTGTGCTTTTCCAAAAGGTCCAGTATCTTTCCACAGAATATTGGTGCCCCATCAAGGTTATCAACTTCTGAATTACAAATCACTATTATTCATGCCTAGTAACAAACCACTGATAATTCAAAAAAAAAAATTCTTAAAGTGCACGTGCGCGCCCACACACGCACACACACACACACACACACACACACCACACACACACACACACACATCCCTTGTCCTTCTTTCCCTGGCACTAAGTCTCTTCCAGTTTAGGTGCCTAGGCTTTCCTTGACTAGGCAGGCGAATATCTCATGTATATGAAGCAAAAGGAAAGCCAGTTGTATAAAAAAACAATCATTCAACTGTGTTTCTGTGAATTTAATCTTTATATGCATACTATCTGTGTTGGGGTCTTTTTCTTAGCATGGTTCCCAGACATTACAAAATTAGCTTCACCAAGTAATAAATATTTACTGCTTAAAAAATTGCTTGTATTGGCATCTTTTGGGCCACAGAAAAATATGAGGTTAATAAATATGAAAGCCCAAGTTTCTATACATACATAAATAAGTTCTCTGGAACTTACTTGCAGAAGATTTAAAGTAGAATTACATCAAAAACCATCCAATGAGCCATGCTATGACCTCTTTCCTCCCTCCCCTCTACTGAAAAAGAAAAGCTAAACCCATGTTACAAAATATATATAGTAGAGCAAAACAAATTTTCTTGTTGGAAACATGTCTCATTTTGCACTGTCTTTTGCTTTTCTATCAGAAGGTAGGCAGCATGTTTCATCCTGAGTCCTCTGGAATCATGGTTGTCATTTCACTGATCAAAGTTCCTAAGTTTTTCAAAGTTGTTTGTCTTTACAACATTGTTGGCACTGTATAAACTGTTCTTCTGGTTCTGTCCAATTAAGTCAACATCAGCTCATACAAGACTGCCCAGGTTTCTCTGAAATCATTCCCTTCACCATTTCTTATGGCACAATAGTAATCCACCACATTTATAGACCATAATTTGCTCAGTCATTCTTGATGAATATCCCCATCAGTTTCTAATTCTTTAATACCACAAAAAGAGCTATATGGGGTTTTTTTGGTACATCGTTAGAGTTTCTTTTTCTTAGGACTTATCCCCACCTTAATCTACTCTCATTGTAATTTCCCCTTCTCCTTTCACCACCTCCCTCCCCGGCCACCTTTCCCCTGTATTTCCCTGTTAAGTGAAATGTATATCTGGATCCAGCTCTGTGTACTTATTCTTCCTTCTTGATTAGTTCAGCTGCTTCTACCTCTCTAACTTGCATACCTGTTATGTGAAACAATACCCTCTAAGCCTTCCTCTCCCCTCCAATGTATTCCCCTTTCTTTTCATTCTTAAGAACATCAAGACATAATAGAATCACTCTTAGGCTTTCTGTATAATTAGATTCCCTATAACCCCTGAAGATGATAAAGTTCAGAGTGAACATACATAACCATCTTCTAGAATAAGTTTAGCCTTCTTTAGTTCCTTAAATTTGCTCATGTTTACCTTTTTATGTTTCTCTTCAAAGTTTCCATGGAGCTCTAGTTTTTTCATCAAAAATACTTGGAAGTCCTCTGTTTTCATTAAAGGTCCACTTTTTTTCTTGCTGCAGGATTATATCTAGTTTTTCTGGATAAATTATTCTTGGTTGTAAGCCTATATATCCTTTGCCTCCTGGAACATCATAGTGCAACTTCTACTTTTATAGTGGTGGCTGCTAAGTCATGTGTGATACTGACTAGATCCTCAGTTAATTTAAATTCTTTGTAGCTACTAGCAATATCCAGACCAGAACTGTCTGGGTTTTGGCCATAACATTCATGGGAGTTTTCATTTTGGGGTTTCATTCATAAGATTACTGGTGGACTCTTCCTACTTTCACTCTGTCCTCTAGTTCTAAGAGGTCTGGGCAGTTTTCTTTTGATTTCTTGATGTCTAGGCTCTTTTTTAATCATAACTTTCAAGTAGTCCAATGATTCTTACATTATATTTTCCTCAATCTGTTTTTGCGCATTAGTTGCTTTTGTTATGAGATACCTTACATTTTCTCCAATTTTTTCAGTCTTCTGACTTTGTCTTTTTATTTCTTGTTGTCTCATGTAGTTATTAGCTTTGGTCCATTCTAATTTTCTGGGAGTTTGTTGCTTGAGCAAGGCTTCACACCTCTTATATCAAGCTGTAAATTCCTTTTCCATTTCTTTTTCTTTAGCACTCATTTCTTTTTCATTTTTCTCTATTTCTCTCATTTCACTTATAAAAAATATTTTAAACTTTCTTTTAAACTCTTGCTTGATCTCTTCTGTCATTTCTCAGTGAATTTATGCCCAAGCTGTGTTTTTCTTTCAGGTTTTGTATTGATTCATATGGATTTGTGTCTTGAGTGTCCCTGACACTATAATAGCCTTTTTTTTTTTAATGGTAGGATTCTTTTTTTTGTTTGCTAATTCTTCCAGCTTGTTTCTTGACTTTGGACTCTATGTTGAGGACAGACACTGTACAATTCTGGAAGGAATGTATGCGCTGGTCCTGATGTTGCCTTCCTGGGAGTACTGAGTGCCATGTTATTCTAGGATCTTAAGAACAGTTCAATTTGGGGACCTTCAAGCTTTCAGTGCTCTCTGTATGGTCTGATCTAGAGGAAAAATTATTTGCTGCCCCTGGTTTGAGCTTTGCAAGTTCCTAAAATGGGTTTAGTTTTGATCAACAGGCCTTTGAGCTTTCCTGCTTTGAGTTCCAGTAGACTGTTGTCAGACTCTACCACTGTTAGCCAGCTGGAAAGCTCTACTGCCACTGAGGGAGAGAACTGCAGATGCCCCATTGATCGGGGATTCCTGGTTAGCGACAGAATTGTCCGTTGGCACCCGTTCCTCACTCAACACAAGCTTAAGTCTTTCTATGCTGGATCTGGGACCTCTTCTTGCCTGGTATATAGCCTCTCCTATTCTGGAATGCTCCACACTGTGTGCCTCTGGCTAGACCCAGTCCCCAGTATTCATAGACCTCTGTTTGCTTCCCTATGGAGCCGCAAAAATGGCTAAGTGTTATTTTTTTCCTTGAATTTATCGATCAAGATCTGGTCTAGTGAATTTTATAGGTCTGCTTGGAAGAGTTTTTTTTTTGCAGGGAACTCATTATATTTCCTACCACTCCACCATTTTGGCTCCACCTCTCATTAGGGCCAGAAAGTGTTAAAATAAAGTGACTAGACTTCTGGCCAATATGGAAAAGCCCAGTTCTGCCACACAAATTCCAGCAAAATATGAAAACAATTTCCAAAAGACAAATGAGAAATATGAAGAATTATGAAAGCATGTACTTCCATTCAATCCAGAACTACACAAAAAATGGCCACAAATTTGTGGAGGTAGGTAGAGAAGTCTCAACATGGAAAGTAGCATTATTGTAGGTAAACTGGAAGGCAGAGTAAGTATGAGGGTTCCTGCCAAGGAAGTTAACATAGATAAATCAGCCAGAAGCCAAGGGCCCTGCAAGCCATTGTAAGCTCTACTAATTGAGAACTTGAAACAAGATCCAGACCCTGGACATTCAAAACAAAAGCTGAGGACAGAACCAACCCCTGTAGACCACAGAGAAATATGACTCAGGCCATTGGGAACCACTGTAACAGAAAAGATCATTTTAGCACATGAGCTATGTAGGAGGCCTGAGACTAGCACTGCCTATAGCATCCCATTAGGACCTGCCAAGGAGCACACAAAATCCCCACTGAGGTTCATGCAAGAAGACAGAGTTTGGCCAAGGCTAGAACCCATAGTGGATTACTGGGAGAATGAGGCAGAAATGTGGCTGAGGTTAAGGTTGGGGCCTAATGCCATTTAGATCACCCCATCTAGATCCCCACTACCAAGTAAACAAGCCTAAATGCAAAATCCTAAAACAAAAACCGAGGCTGAAAATGAGTAAACAGAAGAAATCATAAAAAACAATGAAGAGGTGAAAGCAGTGACTTGCTTGAGCTCTCCCCCAAACCCCTTCAAATACTCATAAAAAATGGCTCTAAACAAATTCTGAAGCAGCAGAACCCACAAAAAGACAGAGTGAAACAAATCTCCAGCTCAAGACAACCTGGATGATTGATCAGAAAGGTGTATGCCTGGCTGGGAGCACAGAGCAGCGTGGGCGTGCAGGCCGTAGCAAACCTGGAGCAGGCCTCAGAGGACTGAATCGCAGGGAGCTGTGGAGGTTTCCAGACTCCTCAATCCACTAATACCAAACACAACTTAGAAGGTCAGTGGGAAAAGTCTGTTTCTGTCGGTGGTCAGAGAGGAAGGCGGGGTCTCAGCTCCATTCCCCAAGAGCCTGGCCCTGGGGTGGGAGGCAGCTGCTTCCCCGAGCTTCCGGCCCACAGACTGAGGGGGAATCCAGTGGCTGATCAGAGAGAGATTGCAGGGATCTCTTTGCCAGTGCTGGGGTGAGGAGGAGCGCTGGAGGGGTGGAGCTTGTAGTGGCTGTGGAGAGGAACCCCTCCTCACAGTTACGGGACAGAAAGGAATACCTGTGGTCATAGGCCAGAAAAGGAGTAAACACATCGCCCCTTATCATACCACCTTGGAAGAACTGAAAATTTACAGGTCCCTACAAGTATCTCTGAAAACAGCTACACAAACCCCTGGAGCTTGG